TCTGTTCACTTGGTGTTGACTTGAATCTTTTTCTGCGTGAACCTGGGCCATAAAAAGAAGCATCATTTCTGTTTGTGCTTAGTCTTCTTTTCCTCCACTGAACTGATAAATTTTGTCCTCCATCACTTGCTCTCCTGTACGAGTTGTAGTTATGCTGATTTTCGTCAAATTTGAATGTAACTGGTGAAGATTTGGGTTTTGAACTCGATTGTTTATCTCCACAAAGAAATTCAGAATGTTCGAATTGAGTGTGGGTCGGTGTCTTCACTTCAACACTCATTTTCTGACTTTTCACACACGATCGTCGTTATTGTTTACATCGAGCACGTGTTCGTAATGTAAACGTCGGAACTTTGCTGCCACCTGGCGGTTGACCAAGCCAAAATGCGGTCACAACAACAATCACCTATCACGTTCTAGTATTAACAGTTCCCAAGAAGAATAGGTTCAAAAGTTAATATTAATTGCACGATTTTAGCTTAAAGAAGCATTAAATGTCAGAAAATATCCACCAAAGTCGCAATAAACTTTCTAATGTTTCCTTGAGGCTCCGTGCAGTAAGGCAGTTAGCTCACACTGGATATCCAGTGCGCCTGTGCAAATCGTAGACTTGTGGGAAATTAGTTCGGAAATTGTTGTTCCGAAAGGCTATAAATTGTCGTCTGCAAAAATATTCCAAGAAAGAAAGAAGAAAACAGTCTTCGACTATTTGCAGAAGACTGAGCACTGTATGGCTGTCTGAGAAGTTTTAAGGTAAAGATATTTATGAGGTGTATGAAATAATTACTTAACATACCACTGGTTTCAAAAAAACAGTACTGCAAAAACTTGGCTATATCATTTTTATACATAAATAATAAGATTGTATCTACCATTGTCTTTCTAATTTATAAACATACATGTTCAGAGTATGTTGTTTTTATGATATGCCTTTAATAAATACAAGATAAAATAAACAAATAAACAGCAAGTCATTGTCATGTTTTATATGATTGATTGATTGATGCTTCACTTCTCTTTTCAGACTTTTGACAAGTTTTGTTCCAGTGAGCCAGATAATTTAATAACATGCTAACTCAGCTCATCCTAGTCCAAATAAATATATAAAGGTCTAGAAAGGCTATTTTAATATTTTTGATGTATGAAGACTTTTTTTATGGCTTATCACTATTTGGGAATCCGCGACACTTGACTCGAGAATCTGCGCCACTTGAACTATTGACGTCATACAACAATCACTTTGTCTTTGTGGCATCAGACAGTTTCTATTATGACGTCAAAATTTTACGGGAACTTTGTGATGTCCAGTAATGGCAGACAAATAGCGATAAGCTGTATTTGGACTAAGCTCATCCAAAATACGGTTTGCAGGTATTACAGGTCATCCTACATAGACACATACATTATCAATATTCTGACTTCTAGTGGACTTGCTTTTGAATCTACAGATCTGTACAGTGGAGTCCATGGTGTCCGTCTGGCCGGTGATATCGCGCATTAGCTGATTTCCTTAGATATCAACACAGTTACACAAAATAAAATCGTTCTAGTTATTGTTTTAAACTTCCAAAGGGATAAAAAAGAATAAAACTGATAAGTTCAAGAGTTAATTAATAACTGCAATCCCGTGATTTACAATATTTGGCCAATTTCCATTAAAAAAATTCATCATCAGATAAAATTTGTTTTATTTCAGAAAAATTTATATCAGACGGAAATTATTTTTGCTGTGCATCCTTGGCATTGTGTTTGGTTCAAATTCAGCTATATTTCGTAGTGTCAAGTCTTTCCTGTATTCAAAATAAGCTATTTTTGGAAAGCATGCGCGAAATCACCGGACGTCGGAGGAACCCTCAGAACAGGGGTTTCCCTAATTTTGGACACACATTACACAAAATCTTGAGGGCGAAACCGTACAAACAGAAGATTTTATGAAATAAAAGTATGTTATGAATGTGATCACACACTATTATTCAATTATTGATTTTATCAGTTGAATGAAGTGAAGTCATAAGTCTTAGGTGCGGGGATACACCGGACTGCACCGTACTTGAAAAGGGGGGGGGGGGGGGGGAGATAATAATAACAAATATATAGTGTCATGTTGCAACCTAAATAACTATATGATGCAGTTGGGTAAATCCGCCCACATAAGGCTTTGATCGTATGTATTTCTGCTTAATTATACACAAATTGTATCAAATTTGATATAAATCAATTCACTGACAAATCAACTTTGAGTAGTTTATCTCATTTCCCCAAAAATATCTGAAACAAAACATGTGGGTCATCCGTGTATTTATCGGAAATGTGTTTGTCCGGTAAATCTGCCCATGCGCAGTAAATATGTATGGAAGGCCAGTTTATCACAAATTTATGAAAGGAAAATGTGATCTATTTATTAATAGACCACTTATAAAGAGATTCCAGATAATCCAAAAAAAAATTTGAAGTCAGAAATGAGTTTTTTAAGCAATAATATGATTATCGTAAGATTAGGAAACTATTATAGAACTCACTAGATATTTTGGTAATAATAATCACTAATAAAGGATTTTTCTTTAAAATTTGACATGCAGGATGATAAGTACAATTCCTATGAATAAAATAGCAGACAAAATATTCACGGAAGTGACAATTACGGCAGTAATGGGAGTGGGCAGGTTTACCGAACGGGCGGAATTAATGGACACTACTTTAGTCCAAATAATTATGATGTCTTGAAAGGCTATTTAAATTTTTTTTTTGTTATGACTAAAACATTAGTGAACTTACTTGCACATATGGCCCGAGAACACAGTTATTTCGTAGTGCATTTCTTTTAGACAATAAAGTCAAATTAAAAAAATCGCAGCTGCTCTATCTCAAAAATATTTTTACAGTGTAGTGTACTACTACTGGGACAAATAATATCAAAATTATAGAAAAGTCTATTAGCTCTAACTCAAAATAATGACAATTCTATGTTAAGGGGGTCTAAATTCAGTTTTACAACTTCAGACATACTAGTTTTTGACCTTTTTTAACTGGACCAAATCACTTCTTAATATTAACATAAAGATTCAGCAACCAAATTTTTTTAACATGTAATTTCATCCCCTTACTTAATATTTCATGCATAAAATATAAAGAAATAAAATTGGAATGTGTATGAAAAAAATTTGCAAGTTATACATTGTCCACACTAGGGACTTTATTTGTAGACAACGAAAATCTAAGGACGATAACTGTGTCCTCGGACCATATCTAATTTTCTATAATGCAGAAATTGTTATTTGTGTCTATCATGACGTTATAAGATATATTACAATTGACATATCTAACCAAAAATGTTCTTTTCACACACATTGAATGTTTAATGATAAGCATGATATAATCGGCGTATTCATAAAAGTAGTTATAAATCCAAACAAAGTTGACAAAATATTCATCATTAATTTTTATTTATATAAAAAAACGAGTGTGGACAGAAACTTGTTAATATGAAAAATTAAAGTCTCATATTTAACAGCAAATTTTGATGAACTGTAAAACAGTGGTTACCAAAATTTGAATATTAAAACAAACTTAATTGTACATTATAGCAAGAATAATATCATTTTTAGATTTCTACAATTTGCAATGCAGAATTGAATTTTTAATGTATGTATATATTTCAATACAGCATAGTATTTTTGTTGATAACATTCCTTTTGACATGTTTTAATATACAGCTGAAAAATGACAATTATTAGGGTAATTTGTATCGTTATTCAAAATGTTGGCAATTTTTTCACCCATATGCTGTGAAATAATTAACAGTAAGTTGATAATCATCACTAAAGATATTCACACTCTGCAGAAGAGTATCATGCACTGAGGCAGTGTTGCTCGCCAGTAAAAAAAATGTTTTGGTCAACTATTGCATTCTTCATTATTTTACCAAAATGTTTCAGAAAGAATTTATATAAAAATAAGGAGATGTAGTGTGATTGCAAATGAGACAATTATCAAGCAAAGTGCAAATGCAGTGGATGTAAGCAATTATAGGCAACTGTACAGCCTATTTTGCTTAATAAATTGCATTATGATGCTTCATTTTGTAAAAGCCTTGATTCAGGTGTTTAAAATTGTTTAGTAAAAGAATTATACACCAATTTTTTTCTACACATTTATTCGACTAAGTTAAAGCCTGAATATATATAAAAAAAATAAGGATATGTGGTATTATTGCCAATGAGACAACTATCCAGCAGAGTTCAAATAAGGTGGAAGTAAGCAACTAGGCAACTGTAATGGCCTTCAACAATGAGAAAAACTCATACCGTACAGCCGGCTAAAATAGGCGTAACATAAAAAATGTGAATCCATTCAAACCAGAAAACCAGAAAACCAACGGCTTATTATAAAAAACAATTTACGAAAAACAGTTATGACAGACATAAAAAAACACAACCTGGCTGAACTACAGGCTCCTGACTTGGGACAGGCACAAAACTATTAAAGAATGTGGTGGGCTTAAACATGTTTGTGAGCGCTCAACACTCCCCCTAACATGAGACAGCAAAACATAAGAACAATCTAAAAAACAGTAGCAATTGAATAAATGGGTTTAAAGCTGTGTGTACTCAAACCGCTTTTTTTATCATGATTGGGAGGATAAAAAATAGTTGCAGAAAAAACTACAGAAAAAAAACCCATCTAATTCAATAATATATGTATTATGGATGACGAAAACACAGGTAGGAATAAATATTTGCAAGTTTTAGTGAGATTTTGATGATGATTTGGTCCTGGTAAATAATTTTTCAAATGCGAAACAAGTTTTCAAGACCTTAAAGGGTTTCCTTTTCTTTTGTTTTTGTTTCAGCTAATCAGAAATGTGTGATCAAAAGAAACTGCAATTTAAAAAGATATGAACAAAACCATAGTTCAACTAAGTCATTGCTGTAATGATGATTTGGGTAAATAATTTTTCAAATGCAATGCAATTTTTCAAGATGGTAAATTATTTCCTTTTTTTGTTTGTTTTTGTTTCAGCTTACAGAAATGACTGACCCAAAGAAGCCTTCTTTTAAAAGGACATTTGCAGGTAAAGTTAAATGATGGCCCTATCAACTAGTCAACAGTTACCCTATAAGTCAGTCAGACTCTGTCTGTCTGTCTGTCTGTCTGTCTGTCTGTCTGTCTGTCTGTCTGTCTGTCTGTCTGTCTGTCTGTCTGTCTGTCTGTCTGTCTGTCTGTCTGTCTGCACTTCTATGTCACATGATAAGTCAAGATTGACTCAACTAATTTTCAAAATATTTTGCCTAGTATTAATACCTATGAAAGGAAGACCCCTTTTGTGCACTTCTGAAATTCCCCCCAAAAATTTGGTAGAAAACTTAAGTTTTTATGAAAGAAAAAAAAATCACAAATTTTGAAACATCTTTTTTTGCTAGGGCTTCAATGAAAGAATTGAAAAAAGTGTGGTAAAAACTTAATTCTGTTTAAAAATTACAGTGGACTAAATGGGATCACTAAATATTCTTATTCATAAAATCAGTATCAGAAACAAAAATAATTTATGTATCTTACATTTTTATATTTGTTTTTCAGTACCAAAGCTTAAAGCGGGAGTAAAAGCTGAGATCTCACTATTGAGTCCCAAAAACCTGTTTAAGGCTGCTGAAAATAATACTGCCAAATCTGAAACAGTTCAGGTTCAGGTAAATAAAAGTGTTTACCACTTAGGTGTGAGAATTAATTTTATGAAGAAGGAAAAAATTATGGTGGCTTCTGAAAATTAAATGTTCAAGCTTCTCAATCTGTCAGATCAAAAGACGTTTTAGTTCAGGCAGAATTTTATACAATGTTTTATCCAATGTCATATACAAGCAATCCATACCAGAACAATATTTCTTTTATGTCTAATTTTTGTTGGTGATCTTATCAAACAGCAGGTACACAAGAATATAAAAAACAATGCATAAAAATTCTCTCCGGTTTCTGTGCTAAAGAAAATTTAACAAGCTTTTTATTACTGGCACATACAGAAATGGTGAATTATGCATATCTGGAAATTATACAGATGTATTATGTCTGAGTGTGTCTTGCTAGATATATTGCTATTTCTTTTTTTAAACCAGATATGGTTTACATGTACCCTCTTTAGTCACCTTAATAGTTACCAATATTGAATGTGAGCTGAAACAGAAATACTTTGGTTGTTTGGGTGACTTGAGATTCTAATCAGAAGACCATTTTCGAACGGTCAACTTTGGCTCTATTGGTTATCTCTGATAGGTGTAATACCACCATTGATTTTCCCCTATTAGTCTTTGTTAAATTTGCACTTTTCAAAATATTGTGCAGAATTTATCTTTGTTTCAAATAAAGAAATACTTGGCATAAGTAAAGTTTTATCCTGTCCAGTACTATAGAAAAAATTTCACATAACATTTCATTGCATATAAGAAAATAACCATCTCTGGAAGTTAACCAATCAAATTTTCCCCTTTTATTAACCTGTGTACAAGCTTTAGTAACCATGTAACCTCAAGTTTCCAAAATATTCTATAGAAACCCCAAATAAAAAAAATAATGGTGCTTTTAAATACCCAATATAAATGTTTATGACCCAGAAATGTTTTACTGCAATGAAATGTAGAATTAATTACCTACAACTGTCAAATTCAAGGGAATATTTTTTTTTTCAACCTATTTTCGTATGCAACCGGATGTGAGGTACTATGATTTGGTGGTATTACACATGATAATAGCCTAAACTGGGGATAGTGTTATATTCTGAATCATGTGAATGTTAATAAAAGTTTAATTTGTACATTTATCCTAGTAATGGACTTCTCTGATCAAAATCGAATTCAATTTTATAGTAGAACTTAATTGTTCTTTTGAACAAAAGTTTTAAGATTTCTGGTCTTTCATAACATGCAAGTTTTACAAAGGTAATGAATTTGAAATGCATGTTTAGATATTCTTCTAAAATAGGAGTGTCTGCAACATATAACCATTTACTGCATTTTCATTTAACGTCTTTTGATTACAGCCAAGTTCTGGAAAATGTGATGATTCTAATGATGTCATAGACAAAGAACAGGACAAGGAGAATAATGCAGTGGGTCTAAAGAAAGTCAAATCAAAGAAAAGCCTTTTCCAAGCTCCATGCACCTCAGATATTGTTAGTTCTTTATGATTATCCCAATTTTATTTTATTTCTATTAAAAGCTAAATAAAAACAATGAAATTCAAATTTAATTTTGAAAGAGGACCAGATGGTAACCATTGTTAAGTTTTAATAATTTATTTCCTAGAATTCAAGGCCATACATTAATATTTTTCTGTCAACTTAATTTAGTACTGTAAATTCAGTCATCACGAAAAATTTTGCAGCCACTGGCTTGATGCTAATTTTTTGGGAAGTTTCCTGTACATTTTATTGGCCAAAAGTAGAAATTCTTACAGGCTCATTTTTAATTTATCAAGCCTGATCTGGTGGGTCTGTGGTTAACTGTGAAGACTGCAGATTATTGATTCTGGAAAGATTTTGTTATAATTCAAGTTTTGCTTTATCTACACCAGATTCCAACCAAATAATTGTACTTTCTTTAAAAGATATTTCCAAGTAGAATTATCTCCCCTTGATTATTGCTAACAGAAAAAAATATTGGTTTCCTATAAATAAAAGTGCAGGAGTATTCAATTATTTTTTAAGTAGAATATTTAAGCATAGGTTTGATGCTGTTTCAGGACAAAAAGGAGGTAAAAGAAGAATTAAGTGAAAAGAACAAAAAGAGAGGAACAAAGAAATCTCTAAAGGTGATTTTTGATAAGAAAAACCTTCATTTTTCCATTTCTGTTTTTTTTTTTCAGGGAAGCTATGCATGGTCAGAGTGTACCATCATTTTTGTTTATATATAAAATAAAAAAGCACAATTTGAAGGTAATGTACTATGCAAATATTTTGTATTTATATTTCTGGGATAATGTTTTTTAAGTCAGCAGGAATAAAAAAAAATGCACCAAATGACAATTTTCCTTCTTCTAAGTATGAGAGATAAATAATATTCTGCTTTTAAATGGTTTTTGCTCAAGAGTTATATCACCAAAAGTTTAAACATTCTGATGAATATGTAAAATTTGAATTTTTCAGGAACAGTCAAATACTGATTCAGATAAACCAAAACCGAAGAAAATCAAAAAGGTAATGTTTTATGAACTATGCTATCATTTTTTTTATTAATTGTATTAATTGTAAAGTAAATAATAAATAACTTTCTTTTCATCACTATTTTCAAAAAGAAAAAAGTTTTTATACATGTTTGTGTGTTATTTTACTGACCTTGAAGTTTTTGTTGTTGTTGGATAGATTAATTGATTGATAGTTGGTGCTTATCACCACTATAAGCACTCTTGGCTATATCAAGGAAGCCAGTTTTTATTGGTGGAGGAAGCAGGAGTGTCTTCGACCAGAATACTGGCAATCTTAGTCAATTTTGTTGTTTGAAATATCTTTGTTATTATCTTTAACATATCTGTTGATTATTAAGTACAAGTATTTTCAAATTTATGTTTGACCTATGTTACAGATGAAATCTAATGCTGATGACAATGTTGATGTTTCAAAGCCGAAGAAAGTGAAAAAGGATAAGGTAAGGGCTGTCCCAAAACGACCTTAGTGATGGTATGGGTCGGAGGATTCACTTAAATTAATTAATTGTGAGTGGTTGCAAATTTTGGTTCAAATCCAGTCTCAACTAGTTGTTTACTTATTCTGAAAAGGAATAAATATAAAGTGTAATATGTATTTACAGTATTATGAATGTTTTCATTTTCAAAAAAAGATATAAATAATGTATGATATGATAACTGTATATCATAGTATACATATGATAGAATGTCTTCATATTTGGTCATTAGCTTGACAATGATGAGTTGTGATGTATGAGAACTTTTCTGATTTGTGGGACACCTACTTCCTTGCTGATACTTCAATTGAATATAAAAAATAATTTCGTTACAATTTTCTAAAAATACTGCTGAACAGAATGACTTCATATTTGGTCAACAGCTTGACAGTGATGAGTTGTAATCTGTGAAACACCTACTTCTTGTTTTCCAATACTTTGAATTATGAGTCAGGGGACTATGTTTCATAGCACAACAACTGATCCTGCATTCTTGTTTTAGTGTTTTGATGATTTATTCCACAGGAAACTAGAGAAATCACATTTGATGAAGAAATCAGACATTCATATGTTACTGACAATAAAATATTCAAACTTAAGTTGAACAAATGTGCATATGACCAAAAACAGAATTAGAAATCTCAATGTGGATAAACGATTTTATTTAAACTCAAGAATTTGCATTTTAATTACAGGAAAGTGCTGACAAAACAGAAAACTTATCAAAACCGAAGAAGGCAAAGAAAAAGAAGGTACTTAAAGCTAATCTGAATTTGTGTCAAGTGATGTTTTACTTTGAGAAAGGCCAATGAAAGAGTGTAGCAAACAGCCATGTACGACAACATAGTTTTGTCATATCTTAATGAAGTACTATGAAGATAAAAATTTTAACTGACGCTTTTTACAAATGAATTGAAATCTAGTTAAAAAAATACAAAATGATAACATTGATGTCTTTGTAAAAGGTGGATAGAAGATCCAAGAGTGATATTTCTCAGTTATTTAGTCAAGTGCAAATTGTAGTAAGGTGAAGGCCAATTGATGTTCAGTGTTTCAGTTTTAAGACAGTGCACTTTGGGAAAGGGTGACCACTTATTTTTGAGATCACTGACTCAAAGTTTAATGTCACAACCTCTACAAATGAACAAATTTAGACAAAATTATACCCCACTCTAGAAGTGATGCTGTATTGCAATTATAGATTCCCTTTGAAATAGAACAAACCTTAAACAACTTAATGTTTTTCTAACTTTAATTAGTCAGATTCAGAAGCACAGAATGAAGCTAAAGCTGGAGAAGACACTGATGTTCAACATGAACAGAAATCTTCTTTTGAAAAAGAGGATGAAGATGACGAGGTTAAAAATGGCAATGAGATGGTTTGCACAGAAGAAAATGAAGAATCTGTTTTTCAGCCTGCCATTGAAATGCAGCAAAGCAAAGATGACTCAGATGAAATTATAACTGAGCAGGAAGAAAAGAAAAATGAGGAAGCACACGCAGAAATTCAGATTAAAAAGGTTTAATGTCTTTCTTAATTTAGTAATATTGTTATCGATGTAGTTCACATAACAGCAATTTAACAAAAAAGATTTAGAAAATTTCACCTCTTGCAAAGACAAGTACACTTTAGATTTACAATACCAAATGTCATATTCAGAATTCCATTAACTCTTTTATTTGTAGTAATAAATATACATGTGTTGTTCATAATTTTATCACACACATAGGTTCTAATGTGTTTGACTTTTTGTCAGTCAGTCTGTCCCTGATCTTTTTGTTGTGGCCAGGATAGAGCCTTTATTTTTTATCAAATCCAATCCAAATTAAGATGAAGGTTAATTTCCATAGGTTTGATAATCAGGGGAAAAATGAAATGAAGGATAATTGTTTTCGGGGGTGGTGGTGGGGGCTGTTACACTGTTAAAAACAAATCTTGTTACTGGGAAAGCACCTTTATTGTCAGATTGTCTTTTAATTTGTATGAAGATTTCCACTCATCAAAACCTCCGATACTTTGGATTCATTTATTTTCGTGGATATTTGATTTCATGGTTTTGCCAATCTCTGAATACAAAGCTACGAAAATTTTATATTCGTTGAACATTTTACTTCATGGTTCACCTGTACCCATGAAACCCCAAGAAAATTGGTATCCAACGAATAATAATGAATTCACAGTAAGTTCTATAAAAAAATTTGTAATGTGGGGCACTATTTTTTTAGAAGCACTTTAATGAAATACATCACTTTTAATACTTATTGATTGTAAGGCATATTATATTATTTTCTGAAAATATCAGAAAAGAATCCAACCTTCAAGTAAACAGAACAAACCTATGATACCAGGTCACGATATGTTCCTTTATGTGAGGGAGGGCACATGGTGTATGTGAGCTTGATCACTGAAAAACTCTTTTATTCAGTTCTGTCAAATGAATATCTTGTTTTTAAAACATACTACTACTTTATACATTTAGTCTCAGGCATCAGATGCTACCACTAAAGAACCACCAAGATCTCTATCAGACCAAGAATATGAGGAAATATTCCAGGCTGTTCTAGATAGATGTAACAACACATCTCTTGAAGAAAGTAAGTTCATTGTCATTTATCTCTTGGAATAAAAATTTCTCAAGTCGCTTAAAAAAAGATAGAATAAGGTCCATAAGATTATAAAATGATTTAATATTGTTGCAATAATAATATGTTAATTTAATCTAAAAAGAACTTTCTTAAAGAGATATATACACTATGGACAGGATTATAATAATAGTTTTTAGGTTAGGGCTATTCTATTGAAAAGAATGTACCAGGGTCGGACGGCAATTATAAAAAATCCCCTTGATATTTGGATAACATAACTGTTCCCGCGACTTACGCAGCGGCAGGCACAACGTTGTATTCTACCTATGGTACCAGTTCCGGAAGTGCAAGAGATACTTCCCTTAAATGACAAGCACATGACGAATGATGTCAAATTCTGTTGAAAGGACCTTCGATTTGAAAGAAAATAAAATTTAACTTTGCCGACCTTTTTAACCATCAGTATGGTCATTTTAAAGCCATATTACTATTGAGATTGTATACTCCTCCAGGGATTTTTCTAGTATTCCACAGGGTCCAAATACCGGACCCATTCCTATCACAGGGGCTTGTTTAGTGTGTCAGACAAGGTTTTACTGTCAATGGCGGTTGCTATCCTTTGTTTTATATAGGATAGCGACCGCCATTGACAGTTAAACCTCGTCTGATACTAAACAAGCCCCTGTGTTCCTATTTGCAATGGCAAATACCCTACGTTTTTCCCAGCAAACGATCTCAAAATTTATTTTTATCTTTATTATTCATGACAGCGATGCTCATTTTATTCAACCACTAGCTTTATACTGAAAATCGCCAACAAGTAATGTGTAAATACGAGTAAAATCGTATCTGACTGACAAAAACAACATTGAAAAACAATGGATGCCATAAACCGGAAATGAAGACGATTACAATACCGGATCAGATTCTGGGGTCAAATAAGGGTAATTCCGGGTTTGCCGATCAAATACAATAAAAAAAAAAAAAATTCCAGGCAGGTGACAAAATACATCTATCACGATGAAATATAAACACTAGAATTGATAACCAAAAGATATATGGAAAAGAAAGAAAAAGCATGAAATATTTTATACAGAAACTCGAAATAACTTTTAGTTCACAAATTTTCATGTCAAAATCCAATGAAATGTGACAGTAATTTTCTTATTCATTAATAAATGTTAATATTACATGTAGATGTTTTTATAGAGTATACATATATCTTCAATCCCAAGAGGTAATTTCTTCTCAATTTTGAAGGGCCAGTAAAAAATAAGTTAAATATATTCCAGTTGGTTCTTGTATTATCATGAAATGACTTCCGGTTGGTTGGTGTTAAGATACATGGTACATTCCTCTTGGTCCTGGGGGTACTTAAATATTGCCTTCCGACCCTAGTACCTCCTTTTTAATGGAATAGCCCTTATTCCATGCATGCTTAATAATCCACAAATAATTATGGAATGTCCTATTTCCATTTAAATAATGAACAATTTTCATTCATAGAGTTAATTGCTCCAATTCTACTTTTGATGCCACACTATAAGGAATTAAAGACAAAATCTCTTCATGCCTATCATTCTTTGCTGAGAATTTTACCCATTTATTCTTCTGCTCTTGTTTTCTCTCATGAATCTAAGCTTAAAGCTTTTGTTATGAATTGTACTGAAACTGGAAATTGTTTAGAATGTGTTACCATTTACTTATTGTAATCAACTGTTTGTTGCAAATATGTATGCCTAAATTTTAAAATTTTAATGTTTAATTCATATTTAAAGTGTATGAGTCTTTGAATAAGCCTGTAAAAGAGAAAAAACAAAAAGAAATGAAAGCTACTTCAGAAAAAGTTACAAAACCAAAACAGATAAAAAAAACCAAGACAAAGAAACCAAAAGAACAGACACAGGCTCAAGTTGTTCCTACCAGTAAAAAGTTTGACAAGGCACCAAAAATATCAGAACGTAACACAGATGTCAAAGTTCAAGAAGAAAAACAGTTAGGAAATGACTGTAATTCTGATGAAGAGCAACAGTCTGAGGAGGAATTGGATGTTCTGGAATTTGAGAATGTGGATGAAGTTGAAGAATGCCAGGCTTTATCACAGCTAATACCAGATGAAGTGATTAATGGTCTTCAGAGCTTAAGGTTTAGTATCTTTCTACATTTTTATATACTGCATAGTAAAAATGCAGTTTGGTTATTTCATGTATTTCCCTTCAACTTTCCATTTATAAACATATACAGTATCAATACGTTTGTTTTATTAAACCATTTTTTATGAAATTTTGTTGCATTGATTTTTTTGGAAACTGTACAAGTAAAAGCCCTCTGTAATGAAAAAATTTTGCAAAGCAATGTGCACAATTTACTAATACAATCCTAATTATTTTTCTTGTTCATAATGCATTCTTTTATCTCCCAGAAAAAAATAAATCTGATTTATGATGTTGAAGATGAAGGCAAAAACACACAAAAAGAAATATGAAAATCAACCTTATGCCACCTGACTTTGAATTTATATGAAATGATCTTTACTTATAATAACAATGTATGTTCTTTTCTTTCCAGCAATACTGTTGAACCAAACTTTCAAGATGTAAATGAGGAAACACCAGAGGGCAGTGAAGTAGATTACAAATTACCTGTACAGAAGACTCCACCTCCAAAGAAGAGCAAAAATTCAGAAAATCATTCTTCCATTAAAAAACAAAAACTAGCACCAAAACAGCTCAACTTCCCAAAGAAAATTGAAGGTTTGAAAACTAAAGCCCCTGTAGGCATGGTGTGCAATTCAATTTTTTAATGAATAAAACAATGCAGTCTCAATTTTGGGATCCTAAACAGAAAATGATATTTTCAATTTTTTCTGTCAATTTGGTTGCGATAGAGACAATAAAAGTGAGAATGGAAACAGGGAATGTGTCAGAGAGACAACAACCTGACCAATCAGCAGAAAAAAGCCAAAGGCCACCAAAGGATCTTCAACACAGCGAGAAAATCCCGCACCCAGAGGCGGGCTTCAGCTGGCCCCTAAACAAAAATGTATATTAGTTCAGCGAAAATGGACATCACACTAAACTCCGACACAATAAATGAACCAAAATTAAAAAAAAAATACAAGACTAACAAAGGCCAGAGGTTCCTGACTTGGGACAGACGCAAAAATGTGGCAGGGTTAAACATGTTTTGTGAGATCTCAACCCTCCATCGAACACTTGATTGAATGACTCAGTTTTGTGTTCAATGTAAGCATTTTTTATATTTCAAATCGATATTCCCTGTATCCTGTCTGTACGTCTTTATGTCGTTTTGTTTTGGAAATATACAAAGCCAATAACTAAATTATTTAGAATTAAGTCACTTAAATATCAAAATCCTTTATAAACATTTTGATAATTTTCAACTCCGTAAATAAAAAATATGACCATCCTACTATAATTTTGATAACCTGTATTCAGTGTTGGTATAGATACTTTAATTATGAATGGGGATATTCTTAGCATTGAAAACTTGTGCATTTTTGATTGATTTTTTTTTTTAGAACTGAAGAAAGAAAACACAAAGAGTGAAACAAAGTCTAGTAAAAAGAAACTGAAAATGGATGAACAAGTGTCCAAGAAATTGACAAAAGAAAAAGGTATTGCCTGTAGTGTATGCCCTATATTTTTACAGTTAGGGTTTTTTGCTTGTGAGAGAGCTGTCTACATATTCCATTATAATTTCTGTGTCATTTGGTCTATTGTGGAGAGTTGTCTCATTGGCAATCATACCACATCTTTTTTTTTATATATAATAAATTTTACTAAATTTTAGGGTATGATTTAACTTTAAACTTAATTGGGGAAGACGTTTCTTTGAAAAAGTGATTGATTACTGTAAATTCAGAAATTATTGTGTGCATTTATTATTGTGATTTTGGAAGAAATGAAAAAATTGAGAGATTAGTTATTGCGATTTCAGGAAAATCTGCATACAGATTTATGTATCAGATATCAGAATATGAGTTATTATTGCGATCATTACCAAGTCGCATTATTCTCATTAAAAAAAAAATCACAATAATTTCTGAATTTACAGTATATTTGACTGCAATGATAATTGTATGAGAAGTAATTGATTTTTAAAATTCCAAATACTATCAATCCAAAAACTTTTTAAAAAATGGAGAAAAGAAATGTTTCATATGAAGATTAGTTGCATTAATCCTGCAATATATTTTATCCTAAAACTTTATAATTAAAATAATCTACTGCTGAATATATACAAAAAGTAAAATGATGTTTATATAACATCTATAAAAGGATAATAAATGAAGAAATGCTTTAATAAGACACAATATGAGATTATGTATGAAAATGTACTTGTTGTTTACACAATTAAAAGTAGTAAAGAAAGTTTGATCAACCCAAATGATTTGACAACAACCCATTGATAAAACAAATTTTGAAATGTTTCTATATCAGACGACAAGCAAATGCATTCAGAAAAAATATTTTCAGGTACATACAAATTTCTGAAAACATTATTTGCAGGCTTTAACAATGTTAACAATTATAAATATAGTTTTGTATTTGTTTCTAAGATTATAGTCAAAGGTACTGTGTAAATTCAGAAATTATTGCGTGCATTTATTATTGTGTGCATTTATTATTAAGATTTGTAAAGAATGGATAATAATGCGAGATTAATTATTGCGATTTCACAAAAATCTGCATTTATTTGTATGTATCAAATTTCACAATGAGAGGTTATTGTTGCGAAACTCATCTATTCACATTATTTGCATTAATAAAACCCTCGCAATAATTTGTGAATTTACAGTATGAAACTAAATCACAAAAATATGAATGTATTTGTAATTTTGAAAAAAATCAAATAACTGGTAAATTAAAAGCCAAAAAACATGATTTAATTTTGTATACTTAATTGTTGACATAAAGTTTCCTGATTTTAAAGAGAACTTAATTTTGGTTTAAGGACTAGTTTAAAGATAAATATGGGTAGTCATTGGTAGATGAATTTATTCTGGACACAATCATTTGTAGTAAATAAAGGCTGTTACTTCTGAATATATAGTTGGTTTGCGGATGTTCTACTCTTTAAAGGATGAGTTGGAATCCTCTTAAGGTTGGAAATATGAAAATTATAAATGATTTCTCTTTTTTTATGGTAGGAGGAAGGGGGTTAATTACTGCAATAATTATAAATTTAAAGATCATAACATGTTAATATTGATTCATATAAGATTATAATTTTAAATTTAATAGAACCAGATAAACTGGCATCAAAGGAGAAATCAAGGAAAAAAGAAATGCAAGAAAGATACTTGACAAGAGAAAAGCTAGGTATTTAGTTTATCACAGACTGCAGGTCACATTTCAAAGATCTGTCAGACATTTGATCAGACTAACTGTGATGATTTATCTGACCGACCAAAAATCAGTCAGAAGAAGGATTTTCTTGGGGAAAATCTGTTGTTGGTAAAAATCCTGAAACGGACTTGTATTCCTATAAACATGTGAATATGTTTACATTCCGTATAGGTATTTAACACAAATTATTATGTTTTCAAAGAATTTAGCATTTTTTGTAGTTGCTTAAGATGTGAATTTTAAAAAGAAAATAGTAGCTTATAAAATATTTTAAGGTTTTAATCAAAAGGATGGTGGCAAAACAAATTACATTTAAAAATACCAAAATCAAACAAACCTGCTCTTATTGCCATTGAAATCAATGACTAACAGAATTTTTCTCTAATCGAAGAACAGGTCAAAGAAACAGACTGTAAAATCTTAATAAGATAGACAATGTATTGTGATGGATATTGTTTGAATTATTCAACAATTTGTGTTTGTGCATTTTTAAGCAATATCACAGTATTTTCATATACCAAATGTGAACTTTTCCTGTTTATAACTGATATAGTACATATGCATTGAATTTATGTATAAATCTATTATTAATACTGTTCAGTACAATTTTCTGTTTGAATAGAGTTGTAACATTTTTTTTTTTTTTAATAAGCTTTAATTTTTCCTTCACATTAACAGGAACATGGGTTCAGTGTGGGGATAAGAACTGTTCTAAGTGGAGATATTTACCGGACTGTGAAGATCCATCAGAATTACCAGAAGTCTGGACTTGTAACATGAATACAGGTTAATTATTTTGTACAAGCTATTTTCTGTGTTCAGAATGATTTAATTGTTCCCTTAGTATAACTGGTTGAATGGTATATGCATCAAAAATTGGTCCAAAAAGAAATGCGTTTGGTGTTCAATTGATTAAGATATATAAGAAATTGACATATTTCAAAATGTTGATTTAAAATGGGTATACGGATAAGTCTTAATCTGTGGATGAATAATGAGGGAAAACATTTATACAAAAGAAATACCTCCGATTCATACAATTTGAATGGTACAACATTTATATAAAATCTTCAATCTAAAGATTGCGACTGGGCATTAAGCAACCAACAATCAATCAATCAATCTTAAGACATGTGAAAAATTTAAAATTCTGTAAATTCAGAAATATTTAAAATTGAGAATGGAAATGGGGAATGTGTCAAAGAGACAGCAACCCAACCAAAGAGTAAAAAACAGCCGAAGGCCACCAATGGGTCTTCAACACAGCGAGAAAATCCCACACCCGGAGGCAGGCTTCAGCTGGCCCCTATCAAAAATGTGTACTAGTTCAATGAAAATAGACGTCACACTATACTCCAAAACATAAATGAACTAAAATTAAAAAAACATACAAGACTAACAATGATTAAAACACTACTGTACGTAAATGAAGAACGTTTTTTTTCTGTTTATTCAGATAAAAGATATAACAGCTGTGAAGCTGATGAGCAGAATTATAATGAAGATGAACACATATTTACAAACTTTGCTGAAGGCTCTGTTGTTTGGGCTAAAATGGCAGGATTTCCATGGTAATATTAATTGACTATAATATGCTATAGTTGATCAGATCATTTTAAAACTTAAGAATCATAATTAAACAATATAAGTTTGTAGTCAGGACTATTTCATTGCAATGAATGTGGAAGGAAAGACGGGAAATTTTATTGTTGGAAATAATGTCATCTGTCATTTATGATTGTATGTCCTTTTCATGTTTGCAAAATTACTCAAAGTAATTGAAATCCCTTCCTACCCTCATACATTTTAATTGAATAACCTTAACAATATTCCATGATGAAACATCATCTGCTTTTCATTCTTTTTTCAGAAACATATCAACAACAGATGTGTAATGATATAATGTTGTCTGCACCAAAAAAGAAATTCATATAATTTTTATACAATCTTTGGATTGTTTACATACAGTAGTCTTCAATTTTTAGCTGACCTGACCAAAAGGCTCAAGTGAGCTATTCTCATCACTTGGCATCTGATTGTCCATTAACTTTTTACAAAAATCTTCTCTGAAACTACTTGGCCAATTAGAACCAAACTTTGCCATAATTACCATTGGGGTATCTAGTTTAAAATGTCTGATAATCCTACCTGCCAACCAACATGGACAACACAGACAACATGGCTTAAAATAGAACATAGGAGTAAAATCTGACTTGTCCTGTTCTCACACTCTGGAAAATTGAAATTTCTACAGTATTTAGAGTATTTTCAATGAAAAACTCAGATTAAGAAGTAATTGCATAGCATACAGGAATACCCTCAACTGTCTATATGTGTGTTATATAAAACACAGTCAAATTGTGAGTTTGATTTTTCTGCCGTTGAGACATTGTCTGTGTTGACTTAATGATTTTACAGGTGGCCATCTATGATAGAGATAGATCCTGATACAGAAAGTTATTTTATGTTAATGACAGCATACACCATGTATCCAGTAAGTATTCTCATATACGATAGCATTATGTGGCTTATACAGTACTCGACCTTCCCACTTTTAATCTTGATTAAAGAGATAAGAATAAAACATCACTGAAGAATGCACAATAAGAAATCAGTTCAGAAAAACCTCTCAATTCCATAATACTGGTACAGACAATAAAAACTTATAAAACAATATTTTAAAATAATATTGCTTAAAAAATATTTGCATTGATTGAAAGCAAGCTAATAATGTTGAAATTCAAGCCATCTTAAAACTGCCTTTCTAAGTAAAAAACACTTTGTGATATCCACAATGAAAAATAATAAGTGCAAACAGATTTCTTTTTTATAGATATTTATAGATTATTGTTGGTCATCTCAACGAGATTGATTTTCTCGCTTGAGCCGGTACGTCGAAAGTGAGAAAAGCAATCGAGTTGAGATGATCAATGACAATCTGTTTATCGCTATTTTACCTATGATGACGTTGTTAATTTCATTGACATTTCATGCGCCCTTAGTTTTCTAGTGATAATTTTTCATATCACTCTACTGTGCTGAGAAAGGAAATTATCAGTCAGTAAGATCAAAGGAAAATTTCGTAAAATAGCCATAACAAAATATATCTTCAAATTTACAGTTTAGATAAAAGCAAAACCTAACAAGTTTGTTCTGGGCATTTTTAAATATAAATCTAGTTGGTTGCATTCATAATCAAATTGAAAGTGGTTTTATATGAATTTAAAAAATATATAGGAGTCTAATTTAAAGTCATAGTTTCAGATTAGGTTTATATATTTTGCTTTTTACTGGTTCATTAAAGTTTGCCAAAAAGATGCAATCATTTTGTCTGAAATACTTTATTGTGTATCATTTAATGAAATCAATTTACATTTTTAATCATTACAGAGTCATTACCATGTAGTATTCTTTGATGATAAAGTATCCAGGGCATGGGTAAACGCAACTTCGATCAGAAAGTATACAGGTGGAATAGAAGATGATAATATGGTAAATATTTACATTACTGTGTATTTACTATTATTTATGGGATACAAATGTTTGTGGATTTCAAGGGTACAGGTGAACCACCAATTTAAATGTTCAAAGTAAAACAAATTTTCTGTAGGCTTGTATGCAGATTTTGCCAAAAATACAAAATCCATGAAAATCCATTTTTTCCTGAATCCATAAAAATTGGTATCCACGAAAATAAATGAATCCACAGTATTATTTTGCAGTAATAATTAAGATTAAGAGATTGACCTGTTAAATATGCCTTATCAGCCATTTGCTATATTGGTAGGAAATGACATTCAAACTTATACAGCTGTTAAATATTTTATTTCAACTGCATGCACATGGTAAATTCAATCAGAATTTAATATGGCACTATTTATAACATTTGTTAATAATGGGTACATGTACTGATATTGCTTTAATAGGTGAAACAGCTTGCTTCATAAGGCTTTACAATGGATTTACATGAGTTAAACCTAAACAATTAATTTTTGTTAATACCCAATAATTTCTTCATCAGCTTTTCATAAAATTAAAATAGAACTAGACAGTTGCAAGGAAAGTGCTGTTATTCATTGATAATATATATGATTGATTTGATAGTTATACATTGATGGACATTTTTGTTGTTTGTTTCATTATTATTTTTTTTAGTTAATGGATTCTTAGAACAAATTCTAATCTAAAGTCTGATTTTATTCAACATTTCATAGTATGGTTTTCATGAACCAATGATTCAAAGTAAATATCCAAAAGGAAAAAGTAACAGAAAATTTACTCAAATCAAAATCTAATTCTTTTGGAAATAATGCTTTAAAGTGTTTTTAATTTAATTTTTTTTTTGGTTGCAGACTGATGACATTTCTGCCTTTTAACTACAAAACAGACATTGTAGTAATACCATATATTTTTTTCAGACTCCAAAGCCCACGAAAGGAGGGAAAGGATATGCAAGTTTTTCAAAGGATTTAGTGAAGGCTAAAACAAATGCACTCCTTGCTTATGATATGTCAGTTAGTGTAAGTATAGTATACAATTTGCCCATCTGTTTGATAGGATAGACACAATTAAGATAGATATCAAGACTTTCAAAAGTTCTTACATTTCAAAAGTTTAATGGATTTGAAATTTATATCTATTTTTTATTGGTTGTTGAAAAACAGAATATCTATCATATTTAGACTGATGATGATTGGCCCAACACTCCACTGATAATATTTTATTTTTCTAAGCCTGTTGCAAGTGACTATATAGATATTGATATTTGATCTTGGCATAATGTTTAACTGCCACTGGTCAACAGTAACTGTTTTACTTTTAATAATTGAAAAAAGTAAAATCACTTTGCAAGTTACCGGTTTGAAAAGTAGGGCTTATTATTTTGTGCATTTTGTTCAAACGTAATTTATTTATAAACCATGAGACAATCAGATTTGATACAATTATACAATTCAGAATTTGCTTTCTGTGTATACTGTTTGATCTTTGCTTCTCTTCAACAAGCTGAAATGTTTCCGTTGTCTTGTTGAACTTGCGAATAGTTGATGATTTGTTACTTTTTTTATTCATATATAAGTTGAGAAAAAGAAAAAAAAATCATTAAAAATTGATGAATAATTAATCCCATGAACTACTATAGACTAATAAAAAAAATTTATAAGTATATTGAAACAAAAGATTTGTCTTTAGCTATCTTCAATTCATTTTAGAATTTGAACATATAGTGTAACTACCCAGACAACATTGGTACGTTGGCACAACATTGGCCCAACGTATCTACATGCATTGGCCCGACGTTGTTTTTAAACGTTGGCCCAATGTATAAGTGCAAAGTGGCCCTATGTTGGCCCAAAGTGATGGCTAAACGTTGGCACAACATTGTAAGGTTTTATACAATACATTGGCCCAACGTTGGTCCAATGATGGAATAAAACTTGCCGATGTTGAACAAACGTTGGGCCAACGTAGTAAAACAAACTGTTAACAAACGTTGGCACTCCGTTGGTTCAATCTGTAAACTTTTCTATCCATATGAAGGATACTAAAATCCCTTCCATACAACAACTGCAATAATTCCTGGTTCTTACATCAGTTCAAAATGGCGAAAGTAATATTTTTTTTCAATGTTGCAATTATTGCGTTTTACAGATCCACTATACCATGTTGTGTCTTGCATACTTCCCGAAAATTTTGTATTTTGCAACTTTCTCTCAATCTTCCTGAATATGCATGAAATATTTGTCAATGGACGTTTCAGTAACCAACAACCAATCAATCTCTCTCCAGGAATGGTACTTCTGAATTTTATACCCATATTTGTATGAACTCAATTAACGTATCCATGTTACCTATTTTTCTTAAATAATATAAATACAAAGGTATGATTAAATATAATTTATTATTAGCTAGACAACCAGCAAATTAAAAAAAAGTCTTTTTTTGTATCTATACGTTGCTAAATCAGATCTATAGAATAAACATTTTAAAGTCTATTCATGATAATTCATTTATCCCATTTGTATAATATCGATCAGTTTATGTTGTAATATCCAAGCTCTGTATGACGGCCTTGATAATTTATTTTATACAGCTATTTTTCTAGTTCTGTATTCCAACATGGTTTTTATTCACAAGAGTTTTCCTTTTGTTTTCTGCTACACTTTGTTTTGTCACTATTTCTGGCTCCGTCTAATGTTACATCCTTTTAATATCCAGTTTAGCATATCTTCATAAAAGTTATTTCACTACATGTACCTCTGTAATAAAGTAATGAGTAAATGAGTACTCAATGTATGTATATTTAGAATATATTAAATCCTCCTAAAAAATAAACAAAGAGACAAAAAATGCATTGTTTCCGGTGTCCTGGCACATTACAATAGTTAGAAAAAATACTCTTTTTTGATATTTTCCCTAGCCTATACAATCCAAGGCAAAAGGCATATTGCATGCTTTACCATACTGGCTAGACTTAACCTCGCTAGCTAGGTTAGCAGGACAATTGAGTGCAGAAATGGATACAGGAAACTTTGTCAAAAAACGTTCTAAGTAAATAAATAAAACTAGTTGAAAAAAAAAAACACAAAGTCAAATCTAAATATACTAGCATTAATGGTAGTATTAAACATTTTATGCATATATATCTGTGAAATTCTAATCCGATGTAGCATAAAAGATGGCTATTATGTTAACTTACTTTCTTAAACTTATTCATTCTGGGCTATCAAATGGTAGAATGCATTTTTTCCCATCTCCATTCCCATGCATTTTCTAGCCAGGATGTTGTCAATAATTTCTATTATTCCTAGCTCTGTATTATATTTTTGCCCTCTGAATTATTTTGTCTTCTGTAGTACTCAAATACCTAACCTATAACATGTATAAATTTATATTTAAATGTAAAATTGTATATTAAAAAGAAAAGCTACTTCAAGTAATTCAGACAATAATCTTTATAGTCTTTTTCTTTTATAAATATCCTTATGTGTGGTATAGTCTTTTTTTTTTACATCCCCCCTATTTTTTTTTTATATTTCAAGCGTCAGTTTTTGTGACTGATATTTACTCCTACAAACTATTCAAATATCGGTTTTCTTTTGCAAAAGTTTTGCCGAGGACAAAAAACTAAATTCAGTCGAGTCCGTATAATTATATATAAATTACAACATTCTTGCAATGAATTTAATAAATAAATACTCTATTTGATATCTAAAACACTGTTACACATGCAAGTGTATATATGATCAGGTTTCACAAATATATCGTATATGTTTGCATGCGATTTAGAAATAATAAAACTAACAAATTCATTTATATTTCTTTAAAGTAGAAATCATTATACCACATTTCTGAAACATTACGGAACAAGGTACATCTTAAGACAGATTTTTTCTATTAACTTCAGTAAAGGTGATCAATGCAATCGTTATAGATTTCACAAATAAAACATTAAAATATTAGCAATTTACAATTTGTTTGATGATACTAATGTTCAGTGGCAAATATTTCATGATTATTTAGGATTGAAATGGTTTAAACAAAATCAAGAAAATATTTCGCCAGAAACGTATAAACTTCAAGATCAACATTATCACTAAAATGATAGAAATTATATGTTTTAATTTTGAACAACATCCCTCAGATTAAAAAAAAAAACAAATATGTTTGTCATTCACAATCGTATATAAAACAGAATGTTTAAAGTTATAACTTACATGTCACTTTCTTTTTCTTTGAACCTCAGATAATATGATTTTCTCTTTTTGTTTTCTTCGTTTCACTGCTTTCTTACAAATACACAACAGGAAATAAACACAAAAGTGACCATCCCATTACATTCAGATTTCCTATAAACTTAATTACCATAGCAACTATCTTTGAAATTTGTCTAACATATGGTCAACCTTATCAGAATGTGCTTGATTAACAGACTGGCTGTATCAAATATCACTCTGTATATAATTGCTAAATTATGATGTTTCACAAAGTTTAATGAATAAAGTTATAATAAATAATGATTGCAATAAATTTAAACTTTTAACCAGGCAATCTATGTTAACGATATATTTTTTTTTTATTACAGTAATAATATTCCAGTATAAATTTTACCTGAGTTATATATAGAGTATAATATAGGATCAACGTTGGCCCAGCATTGGCCCAACATAGAGTTGTAAATGTAATTTCAGTTAATGAACCCTTTCGGTATAACATTAACTTTTCATAAAGCATGCAGCAATCGAAATCACCCGCCTTCCCAAGAGAAATAAAGCGTAAAATATTTCATAATCAATTTTTTTAACAAAATTTCATATCGGCCCTATGTTGCTACTAACGTAATGCCAACGTTGGCCCGATTATTCATAACCAACATGAGATAATAATATGGATTTACAACAGCAGGCCAACATTGGGCCAATGTTGTGCAGCCAACACCAAAGTGCGACCAACGGACCGAAAATTTGCCAACGTTGGGCCAATGTTGTGCAGCCAACACCAACTGTCGACCAATGGACCGACAATTTGCCAACGTTGGGCCAATGTTGTGCAGCCAACACCAACGGTCGACCAACGGACCGACAATTTGCCAACGTTGGCCCACTGTTAGTCTGTTGACTGGGTAATGAATTAAAAGCTCAGAGAAAGAAAGGATTTAGTAAACATGTATAAATGTTTAAGTAAGTAGTTGTTGTGGTGTTTGAATGAATTTATATTTTTTGCTTTCAGGATAGGTTGAAAAATTTTAGTTTTGCCAAAAGATATAGAGGAACCTATGGAAAGGTTTACCAATCAGACAGTTCACAAGGTAAGATAAATTACAATTGAGGACAATTATTCATTTTTTCAAAACTTGATGGGTTCTATGTTATAGGGTTATTGCACTAATATTCTTCAGTATTATATTATATGCATGTATAAGAATTTCGAAAGCAAAAGAAACGTAAGAACATTTGCAGCAAATTAAAATGATTTATCCTATAGTTGAAAAAATTAAAAACCTGATCAACTTTGCCATAGAGACTTAAACCATTGTATATGTAATATTGATATTTGATGTTGGTTCAAACCACTTTTTTATGTCCCCACCATAGGCAAAGGGGGCTTTAATTGTTACCTTTGACCGTCTATCCGCCCCATTTTCATTTCCGCACTCTAACTTAAGTTTGCCTCATCTAAATTTTATGAAACTGGTACACAATGCTAAGAACCACAACATGCAGACAGAGTTCGAATTTGGGTTGTGAGTCATATACTGTCCTAGAGTTATGCCACTTTTTAACTTGGAAAATTGCAATGCTTGAGCGGGGGCATTTGTGTCTTCAGACACATTCTTTTATTTGACAGGTTTAGTTGGCTATAAAACCAGGTTCAATCTACCATTTTCTACATAAGAAAAGCCTGTACCAAGTCAGGAATATGACAGTTGTTATCCATTCGTTTGATGTGTTTGAGCTATTGATTTTGCCATTTGAATTTTCCTCGGAGTTCAGTATTTTTGTGATTTTCCTTTTTAATAGCAGATAATATATGTACTTATGTTTCAATATAAAATAGTAAAGGATGTCACAATTAGTTCAGTATTATAAACCTTGAATTTTGTTTGATAACCCAGTGGATTTTTTTTCAATCTTGGTGCCATTTTTGTAGAATTCATGGTTAAAATAAATTACAAAAAGTAAATTGATTATTTCCTATAGTTGTTCAAGGCTACCTTTCTTAATCACCAACCATCAATGTTGTATTGTCCCTTGATTTGCTTTTTGACAGGCTTTCAAACCACCATGTACTACTTACAAATTAAAATTAACCATTTTTCTTTCAAAAATATATATAGCAGATTACTGAAGTTGACTGTCTTATAAACAAGGGGATAATACTATGTATAGAAATAATTGAAAACAGACCCGAATAATTCTAACGTGCACAAATTAACAATGATGAAAACAATGGAGGATACATATGCCTGCAAACTGCATAAAAGTTTGTGTTAGTGATTTTCCTATTATCGTTTAAATTCTAGAGACACCAAAACCTAAGAACAAACCTAAGATCAGGAAGACAAAGGTAGAAGCAATAGGTAATGGCATGATAGACTCTGCATTAGAGGAAGATGATAATGAAGAAGCTGTATTGAAAGGGATTGAAGAAGTGTTGGATGCCATTGATGATGAACTTGATGCCATGGATGAAGATTGTGAAGATGAAGGTACTGTGATAATTATCAAATAGTCCTGCATTACTGAATCTTCAAAATTCTTTCAATATTAAGGAAAAAAATAAGCCATTAATTTATAGTAGTAGTTAAAATCTATGCAGAGGAAAGGAGGGGGGGGGGACACTTCAAACATTTTTTGGTAGTAGGGGAGAGCAGCTGAGACACCCTTTTTGTATAATTTGAATATTTAAAATATTTACTTTTTGTAAAAAATAGACCACCAGCTAATTATTATGCTATACCACTCAGTAGATAGTAGCTGGTCTCCCCGTGATTTTTTATAAAAATTTTGGTAACCACAACACACATTACCAAAAGCTTGTTTTTTTTTTTGGGGGGGGGGGGGGGGGGTTAATTTTATAGGATGCACCAACTTTTTCTAAATTCTCAATCACCACTGGCATTTTGCTGAAAAAAATAATTTTTCTTTTAAGATGATGAAGATTTCAAAATGACAGAAGAAATTGAAAATAAGACAAATATAAGAAAACATGGAGATGAAAAGAAAAAAATGTCAAAAGGTAATTTGATTGTAATATATACAAGCTTTAAGACAACCAAGCAAATAATAAAGACAAGAAACTATAGAATAATTAGAAGTCTCATACTCTCCCTGCCTCCTTTCTATATATACCTTACTCAAACCTGTGAAAAAATCAACATAAGATTCAAAACAAGGCAAAAGTAAGATACAGGCACATCTACATGTATTTGTACCACATAAAATTGGATGAATTTACAATATTTCTTAGGCAATTTAGGTGCATAGTCTAATTAAAAATACCTCCTGGACAAGCTAATGTACAAGACTATGTTAAAGACTTTTTGAAACCCCTGCATATTGAGATATTCACTTAACTGTCCATTGAAAGTAAAAACAGATAATAAAAGAAATTTACTATAAAATTGAAATGTTAGGGTCTGCAAAATTTCATTCAGCTTATGCCTGCTTTTATTATATTCAGTAGCAAGAGACAGTCCCCTTTTATGTATAAAGTTTAATATTTATATAAATAATAAACATTCAAAAAGACATAGCTATTTTGAAACATTATACATTGTACTTCTGTAGAAAATTTTGGAACCGAACAAAATTCAGTTCTATAACTTTTGTGTTCCCTAATCTGTACAACAGAACACTTGTTTTCATGGTGGATAGAGGGCCTTATTTGTTAGGTGTTTATTATTGTATGCACAGATATACTGCACATTATTTCTAAATAAATGACCATACGGTCTTCAACAATAGGAAGAAAATATGTTACCCAGAGTTTTTATGTTTTATATTAAGGTTTGAAATAAAAGTATAAATAATATGATACCCTTACAAATATTATCTGTTATATTCATGAAATTTAGTCAATTATATGACTTTTATTTTACTTTTAGTTCAGCTATTGAATATAATTATTTATTTTTTTAAATCATTTATAAACAACATGCAAAATTCATATAATTTAAAAGTGAATGACTCCAAGGGAGATAATTATAATATATTTTTGAAATCTGAAAAAATTGTAAAGATATCAGACCATGTTAATAAAAATTGAAACCCCTGCATATTGTGCTTTTTCATAGCACTGTCTATTGAGAAAAATAATTTTATTTTTTAAATTGAAATGATAGTGTTGGCAAATATCATTCAGTTTTTGTTTCATTCAATAGGGCACTCAGCATTTAAACAGAGATATATATATATATACATGTATATAATGTCTCTGGCATTAAGGATGTGGGGCCTTTTACTTTTCACTTTACATGTTGGTCTGTCTGTGCTTTTTGTAAATGCAAAATCTCCAAAATTATGGTTAGGAGGCAAACGAAATTTTTGCACACTCAGATTTTGTGCATTTATAAATGTAAATAGAAGTGGATGGTTTTTTTCTTTGTGTGAAAATTTTCCAATGTATGTTAAAAAAAACTTAGTTTTTAGTAATAGTTTTTGTAAATGCAAATCATCCAAAAGTATCAATAAGAGACCACTGAAATATTTGCCTAATATGTAGATGATATTGCATCCTTAACTTTTCTCTTAATTCATTTTTTTTTTTTTTGGTTTCAAAATGACATATACTCTTGAATGTTTACTCTTTAGTTAAATTGTTTACACTGTATATTCTTAACTACTGAACACTAGAAAATTATTAATGATTGACTAAATTCAGGAAGCCCAGCCACCTTGAGCGGCATTCACATTTGTGTTTGAGCCCCCAAAAGAAACAAATAATTAATTCTGATACAAAGAAAACAATAGTCTAGCTAATAGAGTTTCATCAATTTTGACACCAGGAAAAAAATTCAGATATATGTTCTATTTGATATAGGACGTGTCATACCTATATTTTAATTTTGTTAAAATCCTGACACAATAGAAGTTTCTGATAATTTGTTATTAAAAACGAAAACTGTTTACCCCAATCCCCCCCCAAAAAAAAATTCAGAAAGAAATCAGTTTTTTACCAGGGTTCAATTTTGAGTAGCATATTATACCAATTTATCAGTTTTCAATGAAATCCTATCACAAAAAGATATTTTTCTACAAAATTTGGATTTTTAACCAAAACTAAGTTTTTCCATTTAAGTTGATTTATTAATTTTTACAAAAAAGAATAATATGAACATCTACATATTAATCATAACAACTGTGTAAAATTAAATTTCAGTGGCCTCGTAATCATACTTTAGTTTTTGTTTTTACAGTGTGAGCAAATTGGAAACTCTATAATGCAAAGATTTAAAGGACTCGTAGACTCATAGATTAAGTTCATGTATCAGAAAAATTAATTTAGAAGCTATACATGTAGAATAATATTAGGACTAAAGTTTAAGATATATAGATATATGTGAATACTAGTATACTTTATTAAGCACAAATAAAATCTTTTATGGCTAATTTGAAGAAAAAATCCTCCCATAATTTTTCTTTAAAGCATGTTTAAAAAATAAACAGCCCACTTGAAATAATAAAATTCATTCCATTATTTTGTTTTAAAATTATTTTTAAAATATTGTCCTTCACTAGAAAAAATTCTTTCACCTCTGAAAAATCAAGTTTTGAAAGGCAGAAAAAGAAAATTTTTTTTTGCTTGCTCCTTTTCTTCGACAGGAGGAGTCTGAAAATTAGAAATTAATTTGGTTTGGCCTTATTGCTTAAAATTTAATTTTTATACCCAAAATCTTCATATAAATTTTTGACACGGAATAAACGAATTAATTAATTTGGAGTAACTTAATTGTTTCAAAATCAATTGGCAAAAAATAATATGCACATCGCAATACGGTTCTGAGACCTTCCAAGTACCATGTTGCAAGTCTTAAACAAGAATTGGACGAATGATAAATATGAACAGGCATGATGATATATATAGTTTGCTCATATGAGGTATATACACTAAATTTCAGGAAACTCTGTATTTACTTAGAAAAATGTGACAAAATTGTATCTCAGACCATGGATTTGTATAGTAAGAACAATATATACAAATCCTTGCTCAGACAAGTCCGACAGCAATAAGAGTAATTAATACACCCTCCTAGGGAGATAGGGTATTTTATAATGATTTAATTTTTGTATAGAGGGAAACACTTTTAGCTGTACAACTATAATGTTCCCTGACAACCTTGTGTAATACAAAATTATTTTAAAAAAAAATAACAAGCAACAATTAACAAATTAATCAAGGAAAAATCAAGTGAAAAATTGTGCAAATTAACATAATATTATCAAGTGAGACATTATTGATAATTTTCTAACTATTTTAACAATTTATAAAGTTGTTTAGTCTAAAACAAAGGTGAAAAAAATATACAAGCAAGTTTATGCCAACAAAATATTCTGGAAACAATTTCTTGTTATGAAAACAAATTATAAAGATCATATCTTCTCATACAAGTTTGAATATTATATTTTTATTATCTCCCTTGGAATCATCCACATTTAAATTTCATCATTTATTATGTCAATTTAAAAGCTTTAAAAAAAACAACAATAATATTGAATACTTTAACCAATAAGTAAACTAAATATGGTCTTAACTGACTATATCAAATTATTACAATTGATAATATTTGAAATAATATTAAAATATCTATACTTTTATTTTAAACCATAATAAGAAATATAAGAACTCAGGGTAACCATTTTGAGGTGCTCATTGTTGAAGACCGTATGGTCATTTATTTAGAATACATGCACATTAATTATGTGCATAATATTACTTAAATCATAAAGTAACAACTGTTAAGGTCCCTCTGTCTCTTGTACATGGAGAGGCTTGACATACCCTTAATAAATATCTGCTAAAAAGTGACTCAAAGAATAACTTAAATTCGTTTGTTGCTAGTTCGGTTCTAATTACACATCTCAGAGCTCTTCCTATTATTAAAGAATGTTCAATTTGTTTCAAAAGGTATTTAGTTATCAAGTTTGTTAAGTTTGATTAAGCTTTACAATGAATACTGACACCTGCTTAAACAACATCTTCCAAGTTAATTTTAGTCCTTTTATGGAAAATACTGTAATTTGATTGAAATGCATTAGCCAATTTCCTTTACCAGCCATTTTTTTTTTAAATATATGTTATGAGAAAAATTCCTAATCTGACAGTTATGTAAAACCTAAAATTTGTTTAGAATCAACTCTTATTTTCAGGTTGTTTAATTTGATTAAAAAGAAAGTACATTTATGTCAGAAATTAGGCCTTTAAATATAACTTCAGTAATTACTTAATACAGGAAAAGAGATTTGAATTATAAGTAAACAAATTTTTTTTTGTATACAGAGAACAAATCAACAATTTATTGCAAAAATGATAACCATTTTTTTGTATTTTTACCTATCATCTGAAAAAGTATATTAGATAGATAGAAAATTTAGATAGCGAAAACAATCAGCTAGACAAGATCTACAAATACACACTAGTTACTGCAATTGTATCATACTAATAACAACTCACTAGCAATGGGCAAAATTTTTCACAAAATGGTCAGTTTGAAGAGACGATTTTAGCTTGTAAAACACTTTTTTTACATTACTTGGCGTCCGTCGTCCGTTGTCATTAGCTTTTTACACAAATCTTCTCCTCTGAAACCACTGGGCCAAATTTAACCAAACTTGGCCACAATCATCATTAGGGTATCTAGTTTAAAAAATGTGTCCGATGACCCCGCCAACCAACCAAGATGGCCGCCATGGCTAAAAATAGAACATAGGGGTAAAATGTAGATTTTGGCTTATATCTCTGAAATCAAAGCATTTAGAGTAAATCTGACAAGGGTAAAACTGATTATCAGGTCAAGATCTATCTGCCCTGAAATTTTCAGAGAAATCTGACAACCTGTTGTTTGGTTGCTGCCCCTGAATTGGTAATTTTAAGGAAATTTTGCAGTTTTTGGTTATTATCTTGAATATTATTATAGATAGAGATAAACTGTAAACAGCAATAATGTTCAGCAAAGTAAGATCTACAAATAAGTTGTCATGACCAAAATTGTCAGTCGACCCCTTTAGGAGTTATTGCCCTTAATAGTCAATTTTTAACAATTTTTTGTAAATTTTTGTAATCTTTTACAAAAATCTTCTTCTCTGAAACTACTGAGACAAATTTAACCATACTTGGCCATAATCATTATTAGGGTATCTAGTTTAAAAAATTTGTCCGATGACCCCGCCTTCCAACCATCATGGCCGACTTGGTTAAAAATAGAACATAGGGGTAAAATGCAGTTTTTTGGTTTATATCTCTGAAACTAAAGCATTTGGAGCAAATCTGACGGGGGGGCAAAAATGTTCATCAGATTTAGATTTATCTGCCCTGAAATTTTCAGACGAATCCGACAACCGGTTGTTGGGTTGCTGCTCCTGAGTTAGTAATTTTACAAAAATTTTGCAGTTTTTTGTTATCTTAGATATCATTATAATATCTAATATCTAATACTATTAATTATGATTTTAACCTTATTTTACATGATATCCAAAGCATCAGTAAATGCAGGTGAGCGACACAGGCTCTTGAGAGCCTCTAGTTCCCATTGGTATTGAGAATGGGCAAAGCCTTTCAAATATTCATAGTAAATGAGTAGATATATAAGCAGAACTTTGAAATATATTGTAATTTATCTTCTAGCATAACTCTTTCTTTATTAATATATTTTTATAGTTAACTCTTTCAGAAACCAGACAGATTTCAAGACAGAAGCATAAAAGAAATCCAGGAGAAATTAATAAAGGTACAAAAATGAACAAAATTAAGAAACCCAAAATGTTTACTGAATCGAAAGAGGAGGAAGAAATGGTGGTTCAATCAATACCAGTAAGATCTCTGAAGCTTGACAGCGATGTTTTTACAATGGATATGAATGATGATTTACCAGACTCTAATGCTGTAGAAACTAATGTTAAAGAAGCTGAAGACAAATCTTCAAACCTTGAGAGTAAAGAAAAAAAAGCATTCACAGCTCCTTCATTAAATTCTTCCAAAATTGAAAGTGAAAATTCAATTTCTGTTATTGAAGATGCTGTGGTGCATGTTGAAAATGCACAAAATGACAGTAATTTTGAAAATGCTGAAAATGCTGATGATTCTGAGAGCAGTCAAAATGATGATGAGTCTGAAATCAATCAAAATCAAAATGAACAAACAGTTGAAACCACAAATACCTTAAAGGAGGACACATTTGAAGAAAATAGTGCTACTCATATAAGCAATGATTCTGTTTCCGTCAATAGTTCACCTGACAATGAGGCATCGTGTATGAATAAAGCTGATGCACATGGTATTGATATGGATGGAAGATCAGAGGAGGTGTTATCTCTGGAGCAGGATGAACAAATGGTTCCAGGGGAAGAACCATCACCTGCTGAAGAAGAACTAAATTTAGAAATATCCAATCCTACTGAAGACAAACACCCATCACAGGTTTTAAATCGTACCATTGCCCCTGTTACAATTGAACTTGCTTATGATTCAGATCCATTTGATATGGAAGAGTAATATCTAATCAAGGACTGTCTTGTAAGCTTTGTCATACATTGTTATAGTTTTTTTTTATTATATTGTGAGCTTTTATGAATAATGTAAAAATTAAGCAGAACAGTCATACAAAATGTTTTTTGATATATTTTTAATTTCAGCAAGGACACATAGACAATAAATTCATATGCTAATGGCACATTAAATGATTTAAAAAATATTCTTAACATAGATAAATTGGATATTTTGATTGGTCAGCTGTAAAATCCCATGATCATTTAAAATTGCTGTATACACATGTCTTTGACAGATGTATTATGTATGCTGCAGTCTGTCTGTCAGTCTGTCAGGATACACTTCATCCAATAAATCAAATTTGCTAACATCAATTTTACATGAAACTTTTACCTTGTTAGAAGTCTACGGAAAAATTACCCTTTCAGAATTAATATATCCTGGAACAAACCAAGTTTATGATTATAAGTTTAAAAGATGTTCCCCACATCTTATTTGGCATAGCACAAAGTATAAATTTGATAAAAAACAGTCTTGCTAATAATAGTTTGAAAAAAAAACCCAAAAAACTGGCAAATAGTGCTGTGACAATCACAAGCAATGACTTATAATCAAAGAAGTATCAATGGTACTTTTAAACATGACATACTTCAGTTGTGCTGCATTCTGTGGATTATTCATTTATCATTGGGTACTAATTTTTTTTTATTTGTGACCAAAAAAAAAACACGTGTGTATACATAAAAAAATTATTTTAGAATTTAACAGAATATCAAATTCCTATAGGCTTGTTTGCAGAATATTAGACAACAATGAAATCAAGTATTAAAGAGAATACCATTTTTGCCATACCGCAGACACCACACAAAATTGGATCCACAAAATTAAATGAATCCATGGTAACAACACATGAAATTTAGTTCATCTTAATGGAAAAATGATTTTAACTACATTCCAATATTTATTTTTTTTAAATTTATGATATGTAAATACACAGCTGTTAACATATATTGACTGTTATGGATGGTATATCTAGTTATATACACTGTTATTGTTGATGATATATTTCTATAGATCTATTGTTATTGTTGATTTTTGTATTGATTGTCAAAATATGTTTTTTTTTTCAACTGACATTTAATAAATGATTGATATTTTCATTATAAATACATAAAGAAAATGGTTTGGGAATATTGTTAAGTTATTTCTCTGTTAATTGTATAGATAGTACTAAACCAGCAGAAAATCATTTCATTGACATTGATGGTTAATTATTTAAATTACCATGAAGCTATAAATTTATAGCAATTGTCTTCAAAGACAAACTTTTTAATTCTCAGTCACTGTAAAAGTCTGAAAAATATATATCAGTTAAATATTTGTTTACAAGTTTTGTTAAAAATACTTAAAACATATCTGTCCTGAAGAGATTTCATAGGCTAACCTAATCTTGCTGCAGATACTGCTAAATACAGTGATTAAAAAATATATATTTAAAAAATGTATATATATATATATATATATATATATAATTCTAAATACACAAGAAAATATTATATTTGGAAATAGGGATTAAAATGTTTTGATTCTTAAACTTTGCTTCAAGGATGTTTGCTACTGTTTTTCAAAATAACAAGCTTTTAAAAGACTGTTATAAATTGATAGTATATAAGTAATGGAATTTAAAAAGTAAATAAAAATGACAGGTCCGTGTCCTTGTTTTTCAGACATAATCAATTGAAAATTTGGCGGGAAATGATTCTCTCTAGACTTTTCATACATTTAACATTGGCATCTTTTTTCTTCAAAAGCTATGAAAAAATAACAAGGATTTTATAAGATTTTGAAATATTGCTTTTTAAACTATATGCAATAAAATTATGAAAAGAAAAGTAGAGGTTAGCGGGCAAAATTTGTATAGGTACTACATGGATAAAACTAGAGGATTTTGAATATCTGACAAAAAGTCAAAACATGAGTAGCGAACATACTTAAATGATGTTAAAGTAATTTTTCATCATCAGTTTGACCTTGAAGTTTCAAATATTGATGAAGTATGATGTAAAGACATTATTTTGTTTATCTGTTATATTGTTGTTGTTTTTTTTTTACACTGTGTAAAGTGTGGAGTTATATTGTTATGAAGCATTAAAATAAAGTAATATATTATGGTCTTAATTTCTAGAATTAAAATTGTTATGGATAAAGTTTGTGTGATTTTGCTGTTGAGTCAGTATACATTGTTATTTAAAAAAAACTTTCATGATATTTATGTTAATGTTGCAAAATATTCAAAAACCTTATTGAAATATGTTATTTCTATATGCTGTTGTCAGCTGTTGTTATTTAATAAGATTATTTTTGTAAAATTCAACTTACTAATCTTGTTATTTTTATTATGATTGTTAATGAATTGTTGAATTGTTCCTGTTCATGACTACATTGTTGCCAAAATAAAATATTATTTAAAAGAACTTTTTAAATTTAAGCCAATAATGAAAAAACTTTGGGAGGAGAGTATAGGTTGTATTTATGGAAACAAATGCAGAAGAAGCATGCATTAGGTATACAGCTAATTTACGGAATTTTGGGTCATCAATGCTCTTCAACTTCATACTGTATTTGGCCTTTTTTACTTTTTTGATTCGAGAGTCACTGGTAAGTTTGGCATACAAAATTTTAATCCTGGTATCTATGATGAGTTTAATTATTTAGCATGACCATTAGTATTTATGCTACTGAAAATTATCACTGATTTAGGCTTTGACATAAAGTTTGTGCTGTTGGACTGTAAAAAAGGTAAATGGCCTATGTGTCATATTGACAGAACATGTATCCGTGTAAAGGGTGTATGGATAAAAAAGAGGCAGAATATATTAAATGGACAATCAAAAATACAAATCGATTTTTACATTGATAGCTTGTAAATCTCAACAAAAAAAAAAGGCAAGAGTACTAACTTATTTTTCTAGAATCTAGTATAAAGGTAAATTTCGACATAAATACCCAGACCTTTTAGGTTATACCCATAACTTTGGGCTAGCTTTTCTTATGAATGGTTATTTCAGAAATGAACTATAAATGGGGCAGCCATTTTGAACTTTCAGTCAGTTTCTTTGCTTGTGACATTTTTAGGGACTATTGATGTACCTGTAGATGTACCAATTTTAATGAATAACATCTCTTCGGTAATTTTAACGTTTTAAGGTTTCCAGAACTTGAGCATTGAAAGGTAAAATTCACCCTATTTTTTTACATGTAAAGTATTTTTTTTGTTTTTTTTTTAATTTCTAAAATGTAGTTCTTAAGTTTTATCAATTGATCAATTTAAAACTGCAACTTAAGGTGTAAGCAGAGTCTGACTTTTAAGTTCAGACATTAGCAACTAGATTTTGATTTTAATTGCATCAAAATTGTTCTTTCAAAAACTAAGTATTTAAACTCACAACACCACCTCTGTTTCTATGACTAGGTTGAATTTCATTATTTTAATCAGGGACAGTCTATACTTAGTATAGACTGTCCCTGTTTTAATGTATATTTTTTTGACTGATTTTTCGTAAAAGCTATTGTAAAAGATTCATTTTCAAACCATTCAGACCAGGTTTGGAAATATATAAGAAATAAGAAAAAATGCCAAATACATGTTGAATGAAGTAATAGTAAATACTTTAAGTGTATGAATGCTAATAAGAAAGCATTAACATACCATGTACATGTACTTTCTATTATTAAAGAGAGTATCATGCAACCATAAAAAAAAAGTTTTGAAATTCTTATCAAATTTTAGCTTTGATCTGAGATTACTGCAGTGTAGCAGTTATAGTATTCTCTGGTTTGATAATTAGATAGATAGATAAATTTTATTTCCAAGAGAGGACCTTTATGGGCAAAACTAGTACAGCGATTATTATATTAAACATTTACAATAAAGGGAAAACACATGGAATATAATAGAAGCTATAGTTACTAATATAACCGTATAAACCAAATTGTTCAGTGTTCGTTGACAATGCACAAGAAGCAGCATCATATCCATTATGAAATAAGCTTTTATATTTTAGTCCTCCTCATGGCTGATGCATATGAACAATTATATAGTTATCCAAATGTAGGAGTCACCAAGGGCAGATGCTTAAAGGACACCAAAGCAAATAAACAGTATTTTCCATAACAAGACTACAACCCGCCGATGTCATTGTCTTCAAATGTCAGTATTTATCTTTATGCTTAACAAACTTTCTAATAACTTTGCAATTGATTTTGGCTAGCTTTTCAGTACTGAACTTTGTTCAACATATTTTAATAGAAAAAGCTCTCGGTCCATGTTAGGGAACTTAATAATTAGAAAATAGATATGTTTCTTTTTACCAGCTTTACACGCTATCGACACTATCTACTGTCGCCTTACATTTCTTTGTATTAATATGCACATTTAGAATATGCAAGGATCCATAGAAATTCTTTTTTTTTCTAAACGTTTTTTAACGATGAGCACCTAACATAGTATTTACCTGAAAATTTACTGTTTTTAATTTTAATTAAAATGATAGTGTAAATCATATTATATTCTTTCAAGTATTATTAAAAATTTCCAATTGCTTAAGTTCAATTATACAAATTTAGTTTAGTTTTTAGTTGAATTATTGAATATTTATTACTTTCTTAAATGCTTTTAAAAAATACATGCAGAACTGATAAAATTAAAATCTGAATGATTCTAAGGGAGATAATTAAATTAGTTTCAAGCTATCAATGGTTTACACGAAGCCTGTCCCAAATCAGGAGCCTTAAAGCCAGTGGTTGTCGTTAGTTGCTGTTTGTCAGAATTGTTCAATTGTGTTTACAATTTTAACAGTGATCTGGCCAGTTGATGTTTTCTCTCTCATTTTTGTCATATATAATTTTCTATCATATGTGGTATGAGCCTGATTATTAAACTCATTGTAACTACAGGTTCGCGTTCTGCCTTCAACATTGTTGAAGACAGAACGCGAATCTGTAGTTATTTACGTCTTCGTCCTTTGTATCTAACGTTATGCATGTCTATAGTAGATCATAAAGTAGTAGCTGTCTCATAATCAGTCATACCATATATATATTCAGTGGCGGATCCAGAACTTTTCATAAGGGGGCGCACTGACTGCCATATATATAAGAAGGGACCCGCTCCAGTAATTCCCTAAATACTCAACCAAAATTCCCACAAAAGGGGGGACGGGCCTCCTGTTCCCTCCCCCTTAATCCGCCTCTGATATCTCCTTATTTTCATAGAAAGCGGGAATTCAGTAAATGATTTGATTGAGATAGAAGATTTAAATAATTATGTGCTTGAATAGTTAAATAAACCTTGTATTTTACCACCAAGTATATATATGCCAACTGCATATAAAATCAATTTTAACTGATAAATATAAAACATGTTTGCCAAGACTAAAAATCAATCAGCGCATAACCAACGGATTTAAATTAAAGTCATAAACAGTCTGGGAAAAGCAATATATCAGAGACATATATATATATGTCTCTGATCATAATGACCTTGGTGAATGCCGAAATATAAGTATCGACATGATGCCGGACAATGCGTGTTAGTAACTGATAATCATGCATGTAGTGACCAGTTACTACATATGTATTATTAAGAGTTTTGAAGTTTTGAAAATGAAATAGTAGACTCGATAAAGGCAATATTAATAGATCCAACTACCATGTAAAACTGAAAGACTTAGGCCTATTACACGACCCATAATTTCATATGATTGTATCTTCGTTTATCAGCTCTAAAAAGTACATTACCGTAATAAACCGTTAGATTTGATTTGATTGTTTGTGTTTTTAACGCCACTTTTAAGCACCGCTTTTTGGCTATTTCGTGGCGGCCAGTTTTTATTGGTGGAAGTAGCCGGAGTGCCCGGAGAAAACCACCGACCTTCCATAGGAAATCTGACAATCCTAGTCAATTAAGATTGGAGTCGAGTGCACCCGCACGAATGGGGTTCGAACTCACAACCTCAGTGTTGACTGGCTAATGATTACAGTAGTAACTACTTAGACCACTCGGCCACCGAGGCCCCATAAACCGTTAGAAATATTATTTTTACAATTACAGCAAAAAATATGTGTACTTTTCCATGTACTAAGTCATTAAGTATAAAGATGGAAACGAGAGTATTACATTCAAGGTATTGTATTTTGAAACAATTGGTACGACACGGTATTTTATATGGATTTTAGTGTCCCATGCATATTTCATTATTACGGTGTGCGTGAAAAATATTTTCAAATCTCATCCACCTTAGATGAAGTAATGTCAATCATAATAAAATATTATCATTTAAAAATACAACAAAATGCATTCGCCAAATTTATCTTTATTTTGATAAATGAACATAGATTGAAATAAAAATACTTTCGTGTCATATAACATATAGTATGCCGACTCTCGCTTAACCAAAATCATAGATATATCCCTACCTTTGGTCCATTTTTGTTCTCAACATGTATCAACATAAGGCCGCACGGTGACCTTTAGTTATTAATTTCTACGCAGTCATTTTGGTCTTAGGTGGAGAGTTGACCATTGACACTCATACTACATCCTCTTATTTTTATAAAGAGGATATGAATGACAATTATTGTACAACGTTAAACACTCCCTTAGCGTCAAATGCGTCATAAAAATTAGAGTCATTCGTCATATCGTATTTTAAGCGTGAAACGGAGAAAATTGTTAAGAAATTGCAGAGTTGATCTTTCTGCAGCATTTTTCAATTTGAACTCTTTCGTCTCTTAAAAGTGTCACTAAATGACAACTGAAATGTTCAATAATTTCAAACCCAAAATCTGTTATGTTCAAATCCCTTAAATCGATTAGAGGGACATTGTTTACCAGCATTGTAAACACCCTGATCATTCAATCCTTTATATGCAAGTTCGCATCATCGACAATATATACCACAGGACTAACAATCCTCATCTTGCAACACCTCTACGTAGACAAAAGGAAGACTACTGGATTCGACAATTGCGAACTGCGACACCATATGGTTGCAATGATAAACTTGATGGTATAGGTATTATATCTAGTCCTTCCTGTAGCTCGGTTAATGTGATGATCATTTTCAACTCTACTCCTCGAAGTAGACCCAGTCATGGTCATCATTATACATCACCTACTCTCTTTATGATGTCTCTATTAAAGACCTACTGCCATTTATACAAAAGCCGTTAGGTATTCATCATATTCGCACGAAGCTTTATTCATTAACTCTTTCAAAACTTCATTCTCTGTACAACTTATGTTTGGAAACCACTGTTACAAACCCCCATTCAAACCAATACAAATTTATAGCTATCATCTCGGATATTGCAAATCACAGACTTTTCAAACCAGTTCGCATTGGAAAAGACGAAAAGGAGAAAAGATCCTCTCTAAAAGTTTCCTTTGCGAACAAAGATCTCGATGCCATCAACTTGGGCAATATCCTTCATCATAAATCAGTTCACTCTAAATACCTCTCTATTTTAAAGATCAGTCTGTACTTATCATTTTTTATACATATACCAAACCAATTGCAACTAAATCTTCAATTACAAACACGTGTTGCAGGATCTCAATATTGACGACTTCAAGTCTAAACCTCCTGATTGCACCTGTGCTGGTTCCCCATTCATATATAATCCGCCTGACCACGTTATTACTGATGACTTGAACATTGTAAATAACACCTCTCTGCGAAATGTGTTATCCAAAGACCCGAAATATCATGAACCTAAATCCATTAATTGGAAACACGACTTCAAAATACTGATAGATTCATTCGATTTGATGCCAGGCAATGGGGTAAACGCGCGAAAGAAGACGTAGATACTCTTTCCGAATGGATTAAGGCTGTGTGGTCGTTGATACAAATCAGAAATAGAAAACTTAATGGGTCTATGAATACCCAAGCTACATCAATCTCTAAAGACCCAAATGTTGCAAAACACATGTCCTACCTCCATGACAAATATGTTAATGTCTCCGCAGATAAAGTCCCAAACATTATCGTTTTCGACATTGCATTAACTGCTTGATAAATGAATTAGGTATTGATAATTCACTTGGAAACTCAACATATAACCCCACGACACTTACCAAGAAGAAAATCCTGAATAATCATAGGTCTGTTCTATGTTCATTTGAAATTTCAACCAAAGATGAAGAAATGGATCATCCATCACTGTTTTGGATACCTAAATTAATTAAGTGTCCTTACAAACAGCGTTATATTGCTGAGTCTTCCAAGTGCTCCACGAAACCTCTTTTAAATTATTAACATCAATTTTAGCAGCAATCAAAGCCGGGCTTCAAAGTTATTGTGAAACTACCAGGTACCTATTCTGGAGGTGGCATGAATCAGATGTGGATACTAAAAAATTCTAAAGACCTTTTAGAGTACATACAATCTAAGACTCTTTCATCTTGCAATAGTATTAAAACATTTGACTTTTCTACACTTTTTTTTTCGTAAAATGTCTGTACCAAGTCAGGAAAATGGCCATTGTTACATTACAGTTCGTTTCTGTGTGTGTTACATTTTAATGTTGTGTTTTTGTTGTGTCGTTGTTCTTCTCTTATATTTGATGCGTTTCCCTCAGTTTTAGTTTGTAACCCGGATTTGTTTTTATCTCTATCGATTTATGAGTTTCGAACAGCGGTATACTACTGTTGCCTTTATTTACACACATTTTCCTTCTTCCAAACTAAAAGACAAATTAAAAGAGTTGGTCCTGCTTTGTTTCATAACAAAGAATGGCCAACGTAGAAACAAGTATCTTGTCTTAGGGAGAGATACATCGTATTTTGTAAAAAAAAAATACTTTGATTCATACAAAAAATTCTCTGAAATCTCTGAAACTGACATTTTTCAAATGGTTTACTTTTACAAATTGTGACTTGGATGGAGAGTTGTCTCATTTGCACTCATACCATATCTTCTTATATCTAATTATCAAGATGCTTGAATTTTTGATTGACAACATATTTGTTACGTTTTGAGGACGTGTTTTTCAACAGACAATCGGCATTCCCATGGGAACCAAATGTGCTCCTCTTCTTGTCGACTTGTTCCTTTATTCATATGAGGCTGACTTCATACAGGAACTTCTTAGGAAAAAGAAAAGAAGTTAGAAGTGTCCTTTAACTTTACTTTCCGCTATATAGATCATGTTCTATCACTAAATAGTTCAAAATTTGGTGACTATGTTGAACGCATCTACTCCATCGAACTTTAGATAAAGGATACAACATATACAGTTAAGTCTGCCTCATATCTTGTCTTACATCTAGAAATTGACAATAAGGGTCGGTTGAAAACAAAACTTAACGACAAAATAGATGATTTTAGTTTCCCAATTGTAAACTTTCCATTTCTATGTAGCAACATTCCAACAGCCCGTGCATACGAAGTATAAATAGCCCAGCTGATACGATATCCCAGGGCTTGTATTTCGTATCATGATTTCCTTGATAGAGGGTTGCAGCACACAAGGAAGCTATCAAACCAAGAGTTCCAAGTGTTGAAGTTGAAATCATCCCTTCGTAAATTTTACGGACGCCATCACGAGTTGGTTGACCGTTTTGGAATATCCGTTTCACGGATAATAACGGACATTTTTCAGTTGTTGTACCTACAATCCCATCCCCTTTTCCCCGAATGTGACCTACCGAATTAGACTTATCACCAGGTTTGTACTCACATGAGCAACACGACGATTGCCACATGTAGAGCAGGATCTATTTACACTTCCGGAGCACCTGAGATCACCTCCAGTTTTGGTGGGGTTCGTGTTGCTCAGTCTTTAGTTTTCTATTGTGTGTTTTGTGTACTGTTGTTTGTCTGTTTGTCTTTTTCTTTTTAGCTATGATGTTTATTTTTGACTTCCCTTTGCTATCTTTTGCTTTGCCTCTCTTCTATATATCGAACAACAGATAGGATACGATTTGAAGCGGAGTGACAGGAAACTTTATTTGAACAAGTACAAGTACAAATAAAGCAAAACTTTATTTGTGTACCTGTTATTTGTACAATAGTTGATTGTCTTGATTGAAGGATAAATTTCACTTGATCTACATGGAGGAGTCTTGGAGTTCATCAGACGGCATTAATTTGTATACAAATCCTTTTAAATTTTAAAAAAGTGTTTACGTTAGGGTAAACTCTAGAAACTTGGACACATTGTGTACAAATGTAAGTACAAATAGGAAGGGATTCTTTTTTCATTTTGCTCAATTCGTTATACCTTCCAATAATTGGGAATGCAGATTTATTGAAGGCAAACAAGTTACCTTATTGGTGGGGTAGCTAGGTTTTTTGTGCGCCCTGAAAGGAGAACTCGGGAAAGGGAGGGAAGCTTTCCGCAAGCCCCGAAGATTTAGCAAATAAAAAAACCCAATTTTTGATGTTTAATCAAATGAAAATGTAATGAGATTTTCATATGTTGTGCTTTCTTTACTCGCAACGGGAAAATATTTTTGAGTGATGTCCCTTTAAAATGAACTGGTGACACAAATTGATTTTTAAAGTACTGTGTGTTAAACTTTAAGTTTCATAACAAATTCAACATATAGAATATGATATATTATTTCAGAAGAAAATTGCATTTGGCAAGAATTGTATTTTTTTAGGAAAATAAGTGTAGTTGAGAATTAATTTCCAAACCTTTGCATCATTGTCTCGTCCGTGACTTTATATATAAAATTAGCAACATCTACATTAAAAAGGGCCTTTATCATGTTTGGTACTCAGAGCCTAACGGTTCTGGGCGGAATCACAATCAGGAGATTTCGGAGGCATAATTTCTTTACTTGGTGGCAGTTGGTACTCTTTAGGTCCGGCGCCCCAACATAACAAATACAAATTAAAAACTGGCATTGGTATGCTTTTTAGACATTAAAGGACAACAACGAAAATCATGATTTGTCGTGGATGGATACAACATTTACATTGTATCAATCTTACAGATAGTGAAAACCAAGATATGACATAAAAATCCTGATAATACCGACGAAAATAAAGCTATAAAAAAAACTCTTTTTCAATGTATAATTTCCAGATATGCCTTTTAACAAAATAAAATATTATGATCTTGAATTTTTTTTTTAGTATTAAACCAATAATATATATGCTTAGCATATGCAAGAAAATGAAAGAAGTCGAGGATATGTTGAAATTGTGAAATTGCAAATACGGCTAATATATTAACATGGCCATTGATTTTATGTTACTGAACATTCTCATGCGGATAATGTATACATATGGCTATTGGTTTTCATGCTACTAAAAGTTTTCATGTGGATAATGTATACATATATGGCTATTGGTTTTTATCCTACTAAAAGTTTTCATGCGGCTAATGTATTAACATGGCCTTTAGTTTCTATGCTACTGAAATTATTTATGCTTTGTACTTTTGGACTGAAACTATCTGTTATTAGAAGTACGATAACCAAGCGGTAAATGTTCTATTTGTTATATTAACAGTATATGTCTAGTGTGTTTATTGATTTAGAATCTCACAGGGAAATAAGTTAAAAGTGCCGGCAGTTGTAGATAAAACGATTACCTCTTAATAAGTTCAAACTTTAAGCAGAAGATCTAGGTTGAAATACAAAGAAAGCACATAGCAACATAGGCTGCTTCTTTCCCTTGCAACATACGGGTATCTGAGACACCCTTGATCTTAGATTTTAAGTACTTCGTTTGCGTGTTATATATATAGAATAATTGCTTACCTAATGAACAGTGGAAAGCTTTTTTTTTAAGATTTTATGATAACAAGGATAGTGTTTGAACAGTAAACGCTAATACGAGGGCAGGAGTGTTATATATAAAATAATTGCTTATAATACCTAATGAACAGTGGAAAGATTTTTAGATTTTATGATAACAACTAAACAAGGATAGTGTTTGAACAGTAAACGATATTACGAAGGCAGGAGTGTTTTATCCTGTTTAATATATAGATACTTAAATAGTGAAATCTGGACAAGTGGATTGAGTAATAAATAGTTAACTTCGTTTACATGGTGATGGATTAGTCCGCATGCTGCATATATGTTTCTGTTTCTAATAATTACGTTTATGAACATATACTATAACCAATTTTATGAGTGCCCCGTGTGTAAGGGTTAGGGTGCAAATAAAGAAGTACGCTGTAGAAGCGAAGCTCCTGCTAGAGGAGGAAGATAAAGACTAGGTAACAGGTAACAGGTATCTGTCAGAGCCAAACAGATAAAGGACAGGGAACCAGTCTAATAGCAACAATGAAATTTGGCGAGAATGGCGTCATTCTTTTTAGGATCTGTACAAGAGTGAATCTGATGTTTAAAAAATATTGTCTCGTATATATAGAATTCAATTGAAAAGTATTACCTGTAACATTGATTATATTGTGGTTCTGTGTTATGACCTATTACAGATTGGTTGTCAGATTGGACTCCAATGGCAGATACAGTTGTTTGTAGCCTGTGATCCTGACCAAATCTCTGCTTTATGCTGGTCAACATCTCAGCCCTCTAATGACACCGAATAGATAAACATAAAAGATTCAATTTGCCTAAGAAATAGCGTTTTTTTTTTATTTTAGTTCGTTATCTGCCGTTTTTTTCCTTTCTTTTGTGGGTGAAATCAACGAAATCTATCATCCTTATTCTTTCGTTAATTAGCACATGAACATTACATCACGTTAATGCTGTGCCAACATGTGCTGGTGCTGTACAAGGTGTGATAAACGGAAAAATGAAAAGTTCTATGTACAAATTAAAATATGGTTGGTGCAGGAGAAAACATGGATGATATTCGACATATGTCCCTGATCTCACGGATGAAAGTATGATCAGTTTTCCGAGTCAGTGTCCGTTACGATGTTTCCTGGAAGCTTAAGCTTGTTCATCTCTCGGGTAGGCCTTGGATAGAAGATGTGTTCAAATTCGGAGGTGTTGCACTGTGGTTGCATGATATTGACTGAGTGACTATGTCGCGTTTTTCTGTCAACAAGATAGTACGTAGAATTTTGGTGGCTACTTGATGGTATATATAGTATCTTCTAAAATATGATAAAGCGGTTTACTGTTATTCTTGTATGAAGTTTAAGCCAATTCAACATTTATGATGTCCTTCTTGTAGTGAGGATCCCATACTGAACTGCTGTATTCTAAATGTTGTATAACCAGTGCATTATACGAAATTTGTTTGATATCTTAAGGGCACAGATACAACTGTTTTTTCTTTAAAAAAATTAGTTGTTGTGACGCTTTATTTATCTTGAGTGTAATATGGTGGTTCCAATTGAGCTTGTTGTCAAGCTCCACTCCTCAGTATGGGGTATGTTCTCTTAACTTCAAGTTTTTGCCATGTGAGAAGTAAGATCTTTCAATTGTATTACGGATGTTATTAGTTATCTGTACAACATAACATTTCTTTGGATTGAATGACATTTCCCAATTAATATATCCCTCTTTCTGAGCCAGTTAGATCTTTTTGTTGTATTTCTGTGTTTTTCGGAATTTCATTTTACGGTATATTAAACAGTCATATGGAAAGAGTCTTTTGCTGGAACCAGTTATTAATTCGTCCTCTATGATGTTCATGTACACAATACTAGTAAATAGAAAAGGACCCAATACAGTGCATTGAGGAAGTCCTGGTCGTACTTTTGCAGTTGTGATTTGAATCTATCCATTACTACTGTCTGTTTTCTGTTTTGGAGCCAGATTTCCATCCAATTGACTGTGTACATGTTAATTCCGTTATTTCTGAGTTTATAGACTAGATGACAAATGCCTTACTGAAATCCAATATTAGTACATTGTATATCTGCTTGGCTTTTCTGATCTCTTATTTTAGCTAGGTTTTCAGTGGTGTTTATTAATTATTGTTCACATGAATGGTTGTTTCTGAATCCATACTGGTATGATGAGTTTTATTTCCGTCTTGACAGTTCATGACACTACTAAAGATAATGTGCTCCATCATCTTGCATGGGACAGACGTAAGGTAAACAGGTCGATAGTTTGCTGGATCTGTTTTATCTCCCATTTTAAAAATCAGGATAACATTTCCGACGACCCAATTTGATGGAAGTGTTCCTATTTATTTATGGATTTGTTGTATACTATCTCTAAATATGGTGCAAAAACTTCTGTTGCTGGAATTTGATGCGACTGTCATAGAAGTGAGAGGTTTAGTTAGCTATAAAACCAGGTTCAATCCACCATTTTCTACATAAGAAAGTGACTGTACCAAGTCAGGAATATGACAGTTGTTATCCATTCGTTTGATGTGTTTGAGCTTTTGATTTTGCCATTTGATTAGGGACTTTCCTTTTTGAATTATCCTCGGAGTTCAGTATTTTTGTGATTTTACTTTTTGCTTCTTGCATGACTCTGCATTGTCTGATCGGGCGCTGTAGCTTTGTTTGGGTTGATATTTTCCAGCTATTTGACAATACTTTTTACGGTTGATGTAGATATTTTGACAGCCCTAATTCTATATATGTGTAGTATCTTATATATTTGCACTGGTCAATATCTGAGAGTTCCGATTCGTACTGATGGTTAACAACTTTAGATGTTTCTTCTTGGTGTCCCAATAATTTATTCTCTTGATGATTTGAAAAAAGTCATAAAACATGTTTCTTTATTAAACGGAATATAATGACAATTATGTTACCGTATGTTACCGTATCAAGTGCCTCATCAAAGATACCAGGCTAATAATTGATAAAGAGTGTTTCGTCTACATTAGACTCATCAGTGGCGATCAAAGATACCAGGCTAATAATTGATAACGAGTGTTGCGTCTACACTAGACTCATCATTGGCGATCAAAGATATCAGGCTAATAATTGATAACGAGTGTTTCGTCTACACTAGACTCATCAGTGGCGATCAAAGATATCAGGCTTATAATTGATAACGAGTGTTTCGTCTACACTAGACTCATCAGTGGCGATCGAAGATACCAGGTTAATAATTGATAACGAGTGTTTCGTCTACACTAGACTCATCAGTGGCGATCAAAGATACCAGGCTAATAATTGATAACGAGTGTTTTGTCTACACTAGACTCATCAGTGGCGATCGAAGATTGAATCAAAACAGTTGCAAGAGCATTAATGACCGAAAAATCCGAAAATTTTTGCCAAATGTGGCTTATTAAGGCAATCTATAATTGTGGTAGAAAAACCTACTTTAAGCAAGTTTTATCAATAGTTTGCAATTATAATCACGAAAATTATTTTATAATTTCCGAGGGGTTGTATGTTTGCGAGTCCCCCCCCCCCAAAAAAAAACTATTAAAAAAAAACACACACAAAAACAAACCGGAGCCGTTACTGAAACAGGTAGGCCACAAGGATCAGATGCTAAATGATGAAGGCCGTGCGATTACTATTTTAAAAATTAAGAGATGTGTTACTGAGACAACTATCAACCAGACACCAAATGAAGTGGATGTAAACAATAATAGGTCACCAATGAGTATAACCCATACAGCATATGAAACTGTATGGCAAAAGACCCCGACAAAGCGAAGTCACAAAACGTAGAACATTTTTAAACGAGAAAACCGACGCTCTGATTATTTAAGAATTGAATGCTTCTTTTTGTGAATTTATTTGGGTGTTAAAGCGTTGACCGAAGTACATTTTGTATGAAGCGTGGAAGCGTTTCATTCTAAAAATGTGCGCACGGTCAACGCTTTTACAACCCAGGGACTTTCTATACTAAGTTAGTATAGACTGTCCCTGCACAACTCTATACGTAATTTACCATTACTAAAAGAAGCATTCAATACTTATAACTACATTTTTTGCAAGGGTCATAAAAACACGATTTCTTTTA